ACGATTTTCCTGCTTTTCCATTTTTACGAAAACCACAGAGGCGTCTTGTTCAGCGTGCTGTCAAACCTACACTAGCAAGGAGATCGGGCTGAAACTATAGCTACAAGCTATCCAAGGATGGTACTATAGAATGTCACCTCAAGGTAGGCCTAGTGGCGTCATCTCTTGGTTAGGCCGGAAACTTATCAATCCACCCTCGTATTTAAACTTTTTTAAAAAAGAAATAAGAAAGATTTATTAAAATTTCATTCTCTCATTCATAGCAATACAATCTACTTGTGCAGAACAGTTTGCAAGAAGCATCGTTACCTGGCTGTCTGACTTCTTTATGTTTAAAAATTAACTAACGAATTTATGAATTCATACGTTCGAACATTATTTCACTTACGGCGACATTATTGTTTTATAAATACTTATAATAGTACTTTTGCCCATTGATATATAAATAATTAAATACATTATGAAACAAAAGTGTATTGCATTGATCGTCATAATTACGAAACGGTTAGAATGTAATTAGTTACTGGTTAGGCCAGGTTACCTTAATTATTTAGGCGTTACTTGACATTAAATACTGATCTATTCGATTTATGCACAATACCAGCATTTTGTATTAAAAGATTGACTATGAGGTATTATTACTCATAATCTTTTATTTAAAAGGTCAGTCCCTATACATTTGAAAAGTGACAGTTTAATGTTAATATACCCATACAGTGGATTAAAATGCTTTTATGACATTAAGTTAACGTATTTCTGTATAGGACAGTCAAGCCCTTGACTTACGTGCTTGATTTCATTTTCAGCTTGATAAGCGACTTTAGTCATTACTGAAGAAAAAAGCCTTGATGGACACCACAAAGTAATAGTATAAAGACTTCGTGTCTTATTCTGAGGTACGAAACGATAGGTGTATATGCCTTTAATTCACCATTCAATTAAACATCTTTACTATTTTATTTACAAAAGTTCTATGATCTGCAGCTTCACAAGTATTATAAATCCACTGACGCTGATTCTTTGTGTATTTCTTAATAGATCGACACTTATTTTTTTTGTTTACATATGTTCCTTACATTTTTAGATGAGTCAGTGTTTCAAATGGGGGGACGGACGAACTTTACCATTCAAAATTGACTGAAGTAGGTAATCTTCTAAAAAATTTCTAAAAATTCCCCAATCGCCATTCATTTTATTTATTACTGATTAAACATCACATTTGCATATACATAGTAGGTTCACCTAATTTTACAAGGACGTAAGAAATTAGAAATTATAAATGAAATGAAGTTGTTGTAACAATTATTATAGCATTTCCGGTCATATTTCATTTTTTATTTCGTCCAACCATTTTTTTATTGTTGAACGAATTGTAAGTTTTGTTTTTCTCAGTTGCTCGGAATCACTATCTGATATGGAACCGAGATCGGCACCGTGGGATGAACCTAAATTAAAAAAAAAAAATATTGATCAGTAAAAAAAGTACCTACAATTGGATTTTATCTGTTCACTTCTGATATTTGGTCAAATGAAAGCATTATTAATTAAGATGGTGTTAACACAAAACGATATAAATTAATAGATCGTTTGTACAGTCTTCCGCAATGATACATGAAAATTTTATTAATTAGTAGTAACCATTAAGGAGTAAAATGATGTTTATTGATTATGTAATTTCCACTGGCATTTCGTCTTTCGATCAAACTCTTTGTTAGAGTCATTCGACCTTTATCGATCTTGAAACGTTCGAACTTAATAAATATTAATCAAATCAAATAATAAACGCTTTTGGTTGATAATTGCCTGTCTAACAACACCCGGTGTAACGGTTTGACGACACGCGGTGCAACGGTTGACCTATCCGCGGTGCAACGATTCGACGATGCGCGGTACACCGGTTGAATGATACCCGGTGCAACAGTTGAAATATTCGCGGTCAACGGTTGGACGATGAGCGGTGCAACAGTTGAAATATTCGCGGTCAACTGTTCGCCGATGCGCGGTGCATTGGTCCGACCCGCCAAACTTAATCAGTCAACGGACGAAAAGTCGCCCGTCCGATTCAACGGTTGGTAGTTCGCGCGGTGCAACAGTTGCACAACGTGCGGTGCAACGGTTCGACGATGCGCAGTGCAACGTTTGAACTATTCGCGGTGCAACGATTCGACAATGCGCGGTGTAACGAGTCGACTATTCGCGGTGCAATGGTTCGACGATGCGCGATGCAACGGTTGAACGATGCGCGGTGCAACGGTTGAACGATGCGCGGTGCAACGGTTGAACAATGCGCGGTACAGCGGTTGAACCGACGATGCGCGGTGCAACGGTCCGACGATGCGCGGTGCAACGGTTGAACAATGCGCGGTGCAACGGTTGAACGATGCGCGGTGCAACGGTTCGACGATGCGCGGTGCAACGGTTCGACGATGCGCGATGCAACGGTTGAACGATGCGCGGTGCAACGGTTGAACGATGCGCGGTGCAACGGTTCGACGATGCGCGGTGCAGCGGTTGAACCGACGATGCGCGGTGCAACGGTTGAACGATGCGCGGTGCAACGGCTCGACGATGCGCGGTGCAACGGTTGAACGATGCGCGGTGCAGCGGTTGAACTATTCGCGGTGCAACGGTTGAACAATGCGCGGTGCAACGGTTGAACGATGCGCGGTGCAACGGTTTGACGGTGCGCGGTGATTCGGTCGGGCGACTTCGTATGTCAAACGACCAAGTCTGGTGGGTAGGTTCGACGACGAAATCGTCGGGCTGGAACGTTCTTACCGTTGAACCGTCACCATACAGGTGGAAAAGACTATTTATGTATGGCATTTTTTTAATAATAATTGTGGTTAATATCTAATATGAATGTGAAATTTTATTTTCAATTTTCCATCCACTACAAATTACTTCAGGTTAATGAGGGAAAATTTTTGTTGTTGTTAAATCTGTAACCTTTTAAGCTCGGTTTGTCGGTGTTGATGTTGTCATTTCTCGTAGCTTAGTGGTCAGAGCGTTGGTGCGTAAAGCTACAGGTCCTGGAATCGATTCCCGGTGGGGTGTTAGAATACAAACAAAAATTTTCCCTCATTAGCCTGGGGTAGTTTGTAGGGGATGGAAAACTGAAAATGAATTTTCACATTAATATTTTCTATTTATGTAATTTCCACTTGTCTGATATATTGATTGATCTTCAATTTTTAACCACTATTAAGTAGTTTAGGTTAATGCGGGAAACTCTGTATCTGTTGTCACACACTCGCAGGGAATCGAACTCAGTACCTTTTACTTTTTTGCAGCAACGCTCTGATCACTACGCTACGAGAGGTGACAACGGCAACTACGACAAACCGTACTTATTAGGTCATAGACCTGTCGAACTAATATAATTATATTAATACTATATATATAAAACGCTTTGACATTGATATTTGATATTAACCACTATTCAATGTCAATGCATTTCATTCTTCGATCAGCTATTGTATTTCTATTAGCTATTGATTCATAAAAACCTTAGAAGTTTAAAAACTACAGTAGTATTAACAAACATATTTCAGAATAATTAGTACACCAACACAAACAAAACATGAAATGAAGAATCATAATTTATAGGGAGTGTATTGTTAATCTGAACTGGAAGAATTGAACTGCGGAAGGATATGAGCAAGTCGATTTGTTTGTCTAAGTAGAAAACTTAACGGTTGCTTATTACATTCTAACATTATTGGCCTACCTTGAACAAAAAAGCCGAGTGCCGTAGGATGAAGATCTTTCAAGAGTCCAACCGGGTTCCAAGGATCAACGCTACCTTGCACTGAAATGTATCGGGATATTTCTGGAGTAACAGCTCCATTGAAAAAATTTGTTCTTTCCACACCATTACTCGTCACTGTTTCATTGTATCTAGTTTAAAATATTGTACAAGTTTAATTTAACGTGTATCAGTAACTACATTGATTGATAAGAAAGTTTTAGACTGTTTAATGTCGTCTATGGTGAAGAATAATAATAAACGAAAGTGTAGTAAATAGGTAAATACATTAGACTCACCCCTAATTAATGTAGATACTCACCTTCCTGAAAGCCTTTATCATACTAATACAACAAAAATAACAAAAAACAAATCTCCTTAATCTACAAAAACAGCCACTGAGCTATAATACAGAAAAATAAATCCTATTTATTATCTCATTTATGTCTTTTTTATTAAGCACTCTCACTTTAATCTCATCACCACCTCCACCTATTATTTCTTTATTTCTTTGTAGTCTTGGTAAAATTTGCAGCCTCTACTTTCTTTTTCTCCTCTAAGCCTTGCTATTACCTCAATATTTCATATTTCATTCATATCTTTTGGCGTCCAATGCTCCCACAATAAAGCCTTCATACAATCCAATATGTCAACTTATTAATTTTTTTCATCTTACTCTCACCACTTCTCCCACACACATTCCCATTCAATCCTGTTTGTTTATTTGTCCTTATTCAATTTTAACTCACTCGCTTTCTTTATCATACCTATTTCCTGTTCCAATTCTAAATTCTCTATAGTTCTCTATACTTGCCTTCTTATATCCCCTTCCCCTAAACTTTTATAACTTCTCATAATTTACGATCCTTAGTCTTACTTATTTTCAACTCTAGACTTTGCCTTCTTCAATATTTTTCTAGAACCTCATCATACCTTCTAACCATTAAACCAGGGCCTTTTTACCTTAGTCTATTTTTATTAACTTATTTCATTATACTCGGGCTTACTTCACTCCGAATAAATCTTCGCAACGGTGACGATATAAGTCCAAAGGAAACGTGTTACCAAAAGGCTGTTTACTGGATGTCGAAGTTTGAAACCAACCAAATTGTGTGCAAAATTGATAGTTCCACGGGCGATCTGTAAGAAGTTACTACCTTGTACAAGTAAATATAATACGTTTGTAAGTTTTCATATATAACTAAAATTGATGTGTCTCTCTCTAACCGATCAACATGACCTAGAGGTTTAGACCATTGCTTAGGATTCGGGAGGACGCCGTTTGGTAGAACTGTTTTTGTGTTAAAATCTATCTAAAAGGACTTGTATAAGTAATCTTTAGTTAAATGGTCCCAGTGTTGTGCTTGTTATGGCCGATATCGTGCATTTACGTACAAGAAAATACTACAAACCAAGATGAACACTACGAAAATCAGATTTTAAATGTTATATAGATTTGAAGAGTGGAGTGGAGCAACCGTCTCACTTGTGCGGGAAATGAAATTATTTCTGCGTTGTTGTGCGAACCAATTTAAATTTGTTAACTTTTAATACAGCACAAGTACATCAGGAATGTATTAAACAAATAAAATAAAGAATTGTCACTGAACACACATACGTTGATTGGACAATGCAAGTTTCAACTAAATTATCCAAATGGGTAGCGGATAATCTGGACCTTTTACTTTGTCAATCCGAAGCATTTCCTTGCAAGGCTACAGATAATGAATACGAATTGTAGCAAAAGCTCTTATTTCTACCTTTTACTTGAAAGAAAATGCTTAATTTAGTAATTTAAGTATGATCTATTGTTTTGACAATAAATATAAAGGGGCTGTTATAATATAAAGGGACTACAGCGTATTGGTGTTGAGGCATTTTCTTTTTGCAATGTAATAAACTGTAAGACTTGAGATAAGACTAATAACTTAAATATTTGGAATACTTACTGACACGTAATGTTATATTAGGAGATGTGTACAGATCTAAGAAATTATTGTATAGTAACATGCAGGAGTCACGCTGTGCTCTGACATAGGAAGCCATCTTTTCTGCATTAGAACCTGTCGCATTTTCGATTTGGGAACAAGCGCTTTCGATATCACCCGGTATCGCATACTGTACTAATGTTGCAAAAACGTCTGCTACTCTATTGAAGAAGAAAGAACGAGCGGGCTCCGTTACGTTCATTGTTTGGCAAGTGCTGAAGTAAGAGATAACGAGCAATCAAATTTAATAAAATAAATTTATTATTATATTAACTTATGGTTTGCTAGATATTAAGGTCTCGATTGGTACGGTGGATTCCATTTTTAACCAAATTTTGATACTCTATAGAAAGGGCAACACTAGCGAAGGGAATGTTACGTTGTTTTGTGCTCGTGATCGGTTAATTTGGAAATTTAAAAAAGATTTATGAAATTATACAAATGGCGAGGTGAACGTCATCTGTAGTATAATGCTACATTTAGTGGAGTATGCTCAACAAGGTCCATTTAAATACATAAATATCTACTTGCTGAACTGAATCCACGGTGTAGCTCACAACTACGTGAGTCACTTTACGATAATCGAACAAAGAAAGTGAAGCGATTTCGATCTTATTGAATCTCATCAGCGCGTTGAAATGAACATAGACCAACTCCATCTGCTTTCTTAACACAGCGCGTTTTATATATAAAACTGTGTTCTGTTGAAACGGTGTGCGATGCGCTGATGAGATCCAATAAGATTGAAATCGTGTTCCGCGTCTGGGAGTTTCAACAGAATACTGATCACTTCGAATTTCTTTGTTTAAAAAGATTATTGAAAGTGCATGTTTAGAGCATACTACTGTGAAACGTGGACGGAAAACGAAAGGAAAAAGATGCGTTCGAAAGGGGCACTTGCTCGTTCATGAAGAGTTAGGCAGAGAGTAGGAATAGGTTAAGAGGGGCAGAGGTAGACCTACATTAGATTTGCGAAGATTGGTCAAGGTAGAAAGACGTGGACGTGCCTGTCCATTCAGCCTTTGGCCTTATGACTCCGGTGACGAATTGAGTTAGGTAGTGATTTGGTGAGATTAATGTTTTGTCATGTTATCGCGGAAAGCTCGTTTGGCGTGCTATGAAATAAGGAAGATATTGCCTTTTGTCAGACGTTTTTCAATCAGGAGGCAAAAGGGCTTACAATACCGGGATTCCGGGATCCCAAATACCGGAATCCCGATTTTTGTCCGTTATTAAAAACCGGTATTTATGTAAAAATACCGGTATTTTGGTATTACATTAGTTGATAGAAATTGAATTTATGCACAATATAAATCTAATTTAAAATATCAGGCACATTTATTACACATACCGAGCCGAGTCTGGAACCATCGAGAAGCGGCGGGTCGGCAATTATGATAAATAAAAGATGAAATTACTTTGTTTTGAAAAAACAGGAACAAAAGGAACGTATTTACAAAATGTATATGATTTCTTAATGAGAATAGTGCCGACAAGTGTAGAATCAGAAAGAGCTTTTTCGGGGTTATATTTGTAGGAAAATTCGGACCTCGCTTGATTATGAAACGATTGATTGTTTATGTTTTTTAAGAGCATACTTTAATAAACAAAACGCAAGTCATTCATATTATTTCATAAATACTTTCAATTTAATTATATTTTTTGCTTCATTAATTATTTAATGCCATACGAGCCTATTATATGTAAAATGTAACATAGAATTCTATTTTTATTAACTTATTTCATANTCTATCTACTCCTACTCTCTATGTAATAAAATAAATAATATCTACTCGTTTCAGAACAATATTTATTTGATTTCATATAATATTTGTTAACAAGTCAATATAACAATTGAGGTAAGTAAAAATATAACCAGTAAATTTTTTATTAATAATACCGGTATCCCGATATTTCAAATTTCAAATATCAAATACCGGTATTCAGATTTTAGTTCGGAATTGTAAGCCCTAGGAGGCAATGAAATTAGTCATTGAGCGCATGCGCTGAAGTTTATGCGCAAAAATCAGTTATTCGACGATGTGTATAATCTACAATGACCTCCTAACCTCTAAATAATTTACTGTTATTTCGCCAACTATCAATTTAATGACCAGTTTTCCGCACAAGCATGACAAAAAATACTATACGTACGTCGAGAAGAAATAGGGTTATCTCAGACTGCACGTTTGCCACCCGACCCGAAAACCTGAAGAAACCCTGTTTCTTCCCTCGACACCTAATGTATGAATATATTCGTGTTTGGTATAGTATAGTACTGCACTACATAGATACAAGTATCAACGAAGTGGAAGGTGAACGTACTAATCGAGACTTTTAAGATTAAGATTAGTTTTTGAATATAGAAATGTTTGGCCTGAATGATAAATCGTCAACATTTAATGATTGAGTACAGATATGCAGGTTAGGACATTAGAATAGGTAACCTATTCATTCAGCAAGTACACAAAATACGTAATTACATATAAGTACCAATAGGATCCTTTTGTAGGGTAACTACTTACTTGAATAACTTTGACACATTGGCAATACCTTCATCGGTTTCAAGTAAACTCTCAATTTCCGAAGTTGCTGATTTAATCACATTCAAACATGATGATGAAACGCGTGCCAGATTGTCGTTGATTACTTCGTAGTATTCTAAAAAGAGAGGGTTCAACAATTATAAACATTTTCAGTTAAAATAGTAATTTTCAAATTGTTGTTACACCCAAAATTAAAATAAAGTATATTTTAAATTGAGGGAAGATATTTCAACATGAGTTTACGTATATAAAGCAGCTACATGCTACGTGAACTAAGCCAAACTGTGATTATTTTGACAGTTTAAAAATTATTACAAATTTATAGTCAAAGGATAAGTCACAAGAGAAGTACTGACAGCATCTTCAGGGATGATTTGGCAAGGTTTAATCGGAATTAATTACATACTGAAGAAAAGCGAAAAGAAAGCTTAACTATTGTGAAGCAGACAACGTTAATAAAAAAGTTTGCATTAAAGGTAGAATAAAACTCAAATAGTGGTTCGCTAATTTTAATAAGTAATCGACAATTCGATAGTATTGTTTCGAGCGATAGGGGTTATTATTTAGGACTTGATAACGTGCCGAGTTCTTTGTAGCTGCATTCATAAAGAACAATATGCCTATCACAACGTCTCTTTACCTTCTCAGTTCTTCTTCAGTAAGGGTTATATAATTTTCGTCGACGTAATGCGAATCATAAACGTTACAACTTAGAGTGCTATCAAAATTTCGGACGTACTACGAAATGACTTAAATCAGTACCACCTATACTGTCGAATGAATGAACTTACCATAGAAGTCTACTTTTGAATTAAGTGGGCCACTGGAGGCATAAGCAATGTCAACCAAATGAGGATACTTGATGCGAGCCCACGTGGCAAGACTTGCAGAATAAGAAATTCCAATTGCTACGACCTGAAATAACAATTAATCAAGACAACTACATTCTGCATTGTTATTAATTTATTCATCATCGTAAGGTCGTCAGTCCTAAGACTGGTTGGATACGCACCTCCATCCCTTCCTATCCTGAGCTAATCTTAGCACTTCCCTAAAACTAGAACAACCCACATCCTTAACTATTTACGAACAGTAACCTAATCTAGGTCTACATTAGGGTTGCCACACGTACTTTATTATAAACTATTGTACTCTATTTCGACTGTGCGTACGTTATTCTTTACAAGACACATAAAGTACGCAAAAATACTTTATTTAAGGCCTTAAGTAAACATCGTAATTTTGTAAGCGATTATTTGAAATTCAGAGTACTTTTACATCAATAATATTGCACAGAAAAATGGCAAGCCATATTTACGGAACAACCTGATTTCCCAAATCTGTTCAAAGTAGTGTCACTTTTGCTATCCGTTTCGGCCACTTTAGCATTTACAGAAAGAGTATTCTATCTATTATAAATGCAAAGTGACGGGTTGACAGGAATAAAGCTTCATTAAAACTAATTAAAAATGAACTTTTAGTTTACTTAAATCTTTGTTTGCCATGTTTAGAACCTATTAATGTATTTAAGAGCAACAGCAATTTGTTACTGGCTGCTAGGTGTAACAATAAATATGTTTCTAAAAACAAAAAATAAAATACTTTATTTTTATGCCGAGTACTTTTTTTTTAACCTTTTAGTCGAGAAATACTTTATGTAAAGCCTGAAAAGGTGGCAACCCTAGTCTACATCTACTCCTGCTAACTACTGTTTCTACCTCTAATATGTCTGACTAGACCTTGATGTCTGAGAAGGTGTCCTACCAACATATCTCGCCTATTTCTTATTGACTTCCGAAGAGTCCTCTGTTCTCCTATTCTTTCTAATACATCTTCATTTCTAACCTTCTCTATCCACGATATCCTCATCGTTCGCCTGTAACACCACATTTCGGACGCTTTTAACCTATACCTTTTCGCCGCGCCTACCGTCCATGTTTCGCACCCGTACAACGCCGAGCTCCAAACATTCACTTTTAACAATCTTGAATTTGTAAATTAATCGTTCGCGAGCATGAAAGTGAATTGCAATTTATTGAAGCACTAACGTCTGCTTTATATCCCTACTGCTCCTTCCGTCCGGACATTTGTCGTCACCTGTCTTTATATTCGCTTTTTACCCACTTTTTCTTCCCTTGCATACAAATATTTTTGTTTTACTTTTATTTATTTTCATAGAGTACTGTTTTGTTAACACCATTTTATTTAAGGCTATCTCTAACTCCTTGCTAGATGCTAATACTGCTATATTGTCTGCAAATCTAAGCACACTAATCTTTCGCCCCTGTATATCTATCCGTACAGGTGTACTGTTTTTAATGATGTTGATCGCGTCTTCAGTGTATAGATTAAGAAGTCTGACTCGCTTCTTAATTTTTGACTACTCTACGCTACAGCTGCCTGTTGCTATTTATACAAACTAAGTGCCACTCTTTTTTCTCTGTAACTCATCCCTACATTCTTCAGCATATTTAACATCTTGTTCCATTTAAGATTGTCAAAAGCCTATTGCACTTATTAATGATATCCGCCGAGATAGTCCCCCATTCGGATGCCCGAATGGGGGACTAGTTTACGCCAGAGTATGCCGCCATCATTTGAGTTCGGTTTGTTTTTCTTAGGATATCATAATGTGGTGGTTTCCCGTTGCCTTTCACATCGCAGTATTGTGCATCAGAGTGCCATACCGATTCTCGTGATCTCTGCCACTCTGAGTACTGAAAGAGCTGCTGCCCTCTTTGAAGAACCCGTTTTTGTCTGGTTTCTCGTTAAGAACCCCCCTCCCCCCCATTATGGTTGAACCTATGGTTCAGCTTTCTAAACCATTGAAACTCGTAAGCTGATCCACCCACTCTAGTTTGTACAAGAGGTTCGTCAAGTTTCGGGGCCCATAATATATTATTGCTTAATTAATATTTTTACTTTCTATTGGCAGTCTTGTCTGGTCAAATTCAAAAGCAATACCAGTTTAATCGAATAGAAACTTGACGAAAATAAGTAATATATCATGAATATGTTTATGTAAAATACTAATTAATGAGACTTACTGAACTGTTTTGCAAGGCTTCGACGTTTTTCTTTTGGTATTGGATAAAGTAGGCTATGTCTGCTAGAGCCTGATCGGCCGAAAGGTACTTTAAGCTTTCAGAACTCCAATCACTGTAAAAATAATTTAAAATAAACGTTTATGCCAATTATTTATCATTCAAATATAATTTATTTATTTATATTTAATCAAAAAATTACATAGTGATTTAATTCTGTAATAGCTCAGCAGAAATAAATAATTAATAAAAAATAAAATAAAGTAACTACACTAAAGTTCATTAAATAATTTGTATTAGATCAATCTTCCGAAACCCTAACAATGATTAAACAATTGTCTACATAGTTCACTCAGTCACACCAGTTAATTTACATCTAGCCCTGTAAATTCAAAATTAACCCATGTATCCCACGTTCGATACCCTCGATATAACTATGTGAAAATTAAACTTGAAAATATTCATTATAAATCCTTGCGTTACATGTCATATCGATTTTTTACTAGGAGCATGATTACTCATATATCTTGGCTAAGTTTGCTCCCATGAGGAAAGTACTACGAGTATGATTACTCATGAGCAGGCTTCGGATATTTATGCATTAAAAAAGTACAAAATATGCATGCAAATATGCATTTAAAATATTAAATATATGCATTTAAATATGCTTTCAAATGTCGTTTTTTAGATTGAAATAAAACAAATTTTAAGGGTAATATTTGTCTATTTACAATATGTTTGCTATTAAATTTTTAAAAACACTTTTTTGGTCGACGATTTTAAGAAATTCACATTTGTGTAAACGGAACGCAACCCATGGGGGTTGAGTAAGTATTTGACCTTGGTAAGCGTATAATTATATTTTCAAACAAGTTTTAATTACGAAATATGCAGATAAAACTTAAAATGACCAAAATATGCATTTTAACCAAATAATGGGTTAAATATGCATTAGAATATGCAGTTATGCAAATGCATAATAATCCGAACTCTACTCATAAGTCTCCGTCAAGTTACGACTATCTTCACTTGAATCATTTCGTAAATACTAGTTTAAAATTTTGTTGCTCATCCTACCTTATTACAACTAAATTTTCATGTTTCTAGACAATCCAGTTTTTCACATTTCTGTGTCTGCTACAAATTGCAGTATCGATTCATGTGTTGATCTAACTTGTATGTTATTTACTTTGTACTTATATAAACTCCTTTTATTTCTAATAAGTTCCTAAGAATGGCCGGCGAAATCATTGTCAAGCATGATGATAATTGCAATAAAAAACTCAATAAAACACTGGTCATTGTTATTTTATTGCACTTGATAGTGGCCTTCGGCTGAAGCAATTGTAGATTTGTTTAATAATTGAAGATAGTGAAAACATAGCCCAGTGTTTTATTGAGAATTTATTGTTGTTATCATTTTATTTCAATGTGGTTGATGTTGACAAAGTATTTTTCTTATTTTATATACTTTGTTACTTATTTAGGGTTTTTCAGTTTGTTAAACGGTCATAACCCGTAAATCTATACAATAAACAAGTTACAACATTTCGTTCTCGAAATGGGACTGCCGCTGATGCAAAAAGAAAACATTTCAAATAAAATAAATGCATATGCTAGTGTGATTGCCCGAAGCATATTTTAAGATCTATTAGTAAATGTCGACAACTAGCAACTCTGTTTATGCAATTTATTCTTTTCGTGACGATTTTGACCATACATTAGTAAATGTAGTACTACATCGCGGGAAATCGGTTAATCACCATTATGAGTGAAATTATGACTATTGTACAGGGAAAAAGATCAGCATGCTTAGACTTGCCGATGATATAGCAGAATCAGAATCTAACAAGGAGGAGTTGGAGATAGTTTTAAATGAAATAGAAGCGGTATTGCTAAACATGGACTGTGGCCGCGGCGGAAAAGAAAAGGTTAGAAGCTTTCGAAATGTAGTGTTACAGACGAATAGTGAGGATACCGTGGATAGAGAGGGTTATAAATGATGACGTATTAGAAAGAATAGGAGAAGAGGGGACTTTAAGGAAGTCAATAACAAATAGGCAAGATAGGTCGGTAGGACACCATCTCAGGCATGAAGGTCTATTGAGAAACATATTAGACTTATTAGAGGCAGAAACAAGAGTTAGCAGCAGTAGAGGTAGACCTAGATTAGCTTACTGTTCGCAAATAGTTAAGGACGTCGGTTGTTTTACTTTTAGGGTAATCCGAAGATTAGCTCAAGATGGAGTAAGAAAGAGTATAGGTTCGTATTCAAACAGTCTTAGAACTGGCGGCCTTATGTTGATGATGTTGATGATAGACAGATATAAAACAAAGTTAATGCTTAATAAAAATCGAGGCAGCGTTGCTAAAAGAGGCACATTTTTGAAAATAAAAATGACTCCTTTTTTCTTCTTATCGTTAATTTAATAAATTAAGTGTCTCGAAGCAATCAATATCTTTGAAGGTAATTTTTATTATTTATCATATCACATACCTGGTTGGCTGACTTTTCCCATAATATCTGTGTTCAGTATAGAACATATATCCACCATTTGCACATGCTATGTCGTATACTGCTCCGGCCATTAGATTGTCGGTTGATATGACCCATTCACCTCCAAGAAATATTATTATCGGGCCACCACTCTTAAAGCATTCGTCATTGTATAAATATCTCTACGAAAAAAGAAAATTAAATGAAAATTCAGCTTTTTGGACTATTAAAAATATCAAGTAAATGTAAATAAGTACAAAAAGGATAACTATTCGGTAATTGAATAAAGTTTATTGATAAATTCCCGTAAAAATGCAGAATTTTCGCAAAAAGGGAATTAGTAATGAATAACTGCTGTCGAGATCATTATTCTATGAAAAACAAACTTATTTTGTGAAGCATAAGTTTTGAGTTTTAGCAATATAGAATCTAAGAAAAATTTGTGTGTCGGTAACTATCCACTCAGAAATTTTTGTGGTACCACCATGACCTTTCGCCGACGCTGCCGCAAACACAGGGCAGATTAAGCTTTTTTGAGTATATTACCCATTTCTTATTTTTTAAAATAAATTCCAGGCGATACAGTTGTTCCAGTTTCATTGAATGATGTCATTTGTTTATCAGTTTACTTTTAATTATAGAGTACCTACTTATAGTGTTATCGTTTTGGAATTTTTAAATTAACCGTTCACGAGCATAGAAGTGACTTCCTTTTATTGAAGGTGACCCGACCCTGCGCTATCGTCTGCTCTATATCCCTACTACTCCTTCGGTCCTGACTTATCTGACTTCCTAGATACCTAAAATCAGTCACTGTTTCTAATTTTTCGTCTCCTATCTTTCTATTCGCTTTTTCTTCCCTCCCTATTATTGTTTTACTTTTATTTATTTTCATGCGATACTGTTTTTATAGCAATATCAGCATCTAGCAAGGAGGAGAGATAACTTTAAATAAAATGGAAGCGGTACTGACAAAACAGTACTGTATGAAAATAAATAAAAGTAAAACAAAAATACTGGTATGCAAGGAAAGAAAAAGTAGGGAAACAACGAATAAGAAGTGGCTGATTTTAGGAATTTGGTTGTCAGATAAGTCAGGACGGAAGGAGTAGTAGGGATATTAAGCCGAGGATAGCGCATGGTCGTGTCGCTTTCAATAAAAAGAAGTTACTTCTACGCTCACGAACGGTTGATTTAGAAATTCGAAAAAGATTATTAAAGGGGTATGTTTGGAGCGCGGCGCTGCAAGGGTGCGAAACATGGATGGTGGGTACGGCGGAAAATAAAAGGTTAGAAGCGTTCGAAGTGTGGTGTTATAGACGACTGATGAGGATACCCTGGATAGAGAAGTTTAGAAATGAAGAGTTAATAGAAAGAATAGGAGAACGGAGGGCTCAGCGGAAGTCAAAAAAATGGGCGGTATAGGTTAGCAGGACACCTTCTCAGGCATGAAGGACTAGTCAAAGACATACTGGAGGCAGAAACGGGAGTTAGCAGGGGTAAAGGTAGACCTAGATTAGATTACTGTTCGCAAATGGTTAGGGATGTGGGTTGTTTAAGTTTTAGGACTGACGACCTTATGATGATGATGACTGTTTCGTCAATATCGCTCCCTTTTAAAACTATCTCTCAATCCTCCTTGCTAGATTCTAATACTGCTGTGACGGTAACTTCCCACTCAGAAATTTTTGGATATATTACTTATCCTAGCACCTATTTTTTATTGATTAAAATAAACTCCAGGGGATAGATTTGTTTCAGTTTCAGTAATGATGTCGCTTGTTTATCAGTTTAATCTTGATTATAGAGTACCTTTTTATTGTGTTATCGTTATTGGCTTACACGTGTAAAAGTGGTTGTTTTCAGAATTATGGAAATTCGTAGCCGGGCCGCAATGAACCCCTGATTATTATGCCATGGTACAAATAGTAAGTAAGTAATGAGGTAGTGATGTAGATCGATATTTATCCTTAATTTTCAAACCTACATGATATTTGGCATTATTTAACTGCTTGTATTATTTCAAGCATGATGATCTTGATTAAGTAGATCCATATCGCCGTACAAGATATAGTATTAATATATCAAAAATTCAATAAATGTTTTCAGTTATTAGTATTAATAGGTACAGTTACCCAAATTACAAATTAAAAGTTTAGATTACATTTTCGAACTTACCATTGTCCATGTTCTTTTATTCGCAGGATTGAAATGATCAACCTTTTGGGTTATATTCGCCCACACGGGTGAACTGGCTCTACCGATGGGAACATCTATTGGGGGAGGTCCATGTCGGCTTCCAAATATTTGACCCTAAGGATGTTAAATTTCTTTTTATTCAAATTATATTAAAATAAAAGTTATTATCGTTTACCTGTACAGCAATAACACACGTCAGAAGAAATAGACTAAGTAATGCTCTCATCTTAGCAGAATCTCAGTGAATGCTTAAGTCCCTTTCAATAAGTAATTAATAAAGCCAATATAATATAATAAAGATTAATGATAAGATTACTTTTAATTATTAAATTGTAACAGGTACATTGATATGGTGAGTGTGCATTTCCTTGTAGGAAGGGGAGGGGGGTGGCAAAAGATTTGTATAGCAAATAACACTCGTAAACAAGGACTTTTTTTATTTGTTATTTGCTAGATTAGAAATTTCATTACCATTGACAATTACAATGACAACTGGCCTATAATAATCTTTCGTACTGATAATGTTATAGATTTGTATGTATGTAGTCAGTCTAATTGGAAGTAGGTTGGTGTGTCACTGTCAGAGGTCAGTGTAGAACAGTAGTTGTTACAATGGCGTTTAGTACGGTAGAATTTGGTAGAACTTTGGGATATGATACTAATTTACGCCGAATGAGAATACAATATAAAAACAACAGCCGAATAGTACGGTCATCGATATCCTATCGGCGAACCTCATTAAATGCTTGTACATAGATTTAGAGAAACCGGCAATAATTTTGGTGGAAGCATTGAAGCCTGTCTTTTGACACGGGGTCCGAATTTCGAACAAAAAATTTTTATAGTATACGTATGTATCTGTGTGTGTGGCAGTATGTGTGTGTTCACTGATGCTGTATGATTAATTTTTTTCTAAAGGGACAATAGGGCTATTGGCGAATTATCCATTAATAAAAAGTAACGCTTCTTGGCAATACCACAATGGTGGTGTGGAAACTTGATTAAAAGCCATATTAGACAACTACATGGTACTTGTAGAACTACTTTATTTTACAAGGATGTAAGAAACTAGAAATTATACATTAAATGAAATAAAGTTGTTATAATTATTACATTTGTTCGTAAAGTACTTCTAGATGATGTATAATATTTTATTTCGTCCACCCATTTCGCAATTGTTGTATGAATTGTAAGTTTTGTTTGTCTTATTTGCTCGGACTCACTATCTGATGCGGAATTGAGATTGGCTCAATGGAATAAACCTACATTAAAAAAAAATACTGAGCAAATTAATAAATTAAATAAATATCAATCGATTTGTAGATGTGGAAAGCGACAACCCAAATAATGCAACTTCTTCCATCGACCTACACAGTTCAAGTACAATAAACACTACAAAAAAAAACATGTACGTACGTATTTATTTTTCCATTTTATAATTTTTTTTATGGATATGTGTTTGATAAGAGGTATGTTGTGGGTATTGCACATCTTCCTCCTTGCTCGCCAATGGGGATTTATCAGTTGTGTATCGATTGTTGTGATCTGTTGGTGATTGGAGATTTGACCAACCTATCAAATGGTGTTTGGGGAAGTTACTCAGCTTTCATGTCCACTTGCACTCGTGTTGACATCCACATTCAACGGTCAGCTCAACTATTACAACTTGCAGCATCAGATATTGAGAGTTAATGGAAGCAAAAGGTTCCTTTATGTTTAAAAATTAACTAACGAATTTATTAATTCATACGTTCGAACATTATTTCACTTACCGCGTCATTATTGTTATACTAATTTTTATAATAGTGCTTTTGCCCATTGATAAATCAATAAATAAGTACATTACAACTGAAGCTGGTTCTTGTGTATTTTTTAATAGATAAACACTTATTTTTTGGTTTACATATGTTTGTTGTATTATTGGATTAGTCAGTGTTTTAAATAGGGGGACGGAGGAACTTTGCCTTTCAAAATTGACTGAAGCAGGTATATCTAATAAAATGTCCAAAAATTCCTTAACCGCCCTTTATTTTATTTATTACTGATTAAACACCACAACTGCATGTACATAGTAGGTTCACATAATTTTACAAGGACGTAAGAAATTAGAAATTATAAATGAAATTAAGTTGCTGTAACAATTATTATAGCATTTCCGGTCATATTTCATTTTTTATTTCGTCCAACCATTTCGCTATTGTTGAACGAATTGTAAGTTTCGTTTTTCTCAATTGCTCGGAATCACTGTCTGATATGGAATCGAGATCAGCACCGTGGGATGAACCTAAATTTAGAAAAAAATATTGATCAGTAAAAAAAAATACAATTTGATGGGAATCACTTATTTTATTCGTTCACTTCTGATATTTGATCAAATTAAAGCATTATTAATTAAGATCGCGTTAACACAAAACGATATGAATTAATAGATCATTTGTACAGTCTTCCTCAATGATTTGATTAATTAGAAGTAACCAGTAAGGGGTAAAATGATATTTATTGATTGTAATCGACGATGCACGGTACAACGGTTGAAATATTCGCGTTCAACGGTTGGACTATGCGCGGTGCAACGGTTGAACAATGCGCGGTGCAACGGTTCAACTATTCGCGGTGCAACGGTTGAACAATGCGCGGTGCAACGGTTGAACCATGCGCAATGCAACGATTCAACTATTCGCGGTGCAACGGTTCGATGGCGCTCGGTGATTCGGTCGGGTAACTGTTCGTATGTCAAACGACCAAGTCTGGTGGGCAGGTTCGACGACGAAATCGTCGGATTCGAACGTTCTTACCGTTGAACCGTCACCATACAGGTGGAAAGAACTATTTATGTATGACATTTTTGTAATTATAATTATCTAATATTAATGTGAAAATTTATTTTCAATTTTCCATCCACTACAAACTACTTCAAGTTAATGAGGGAGAATTTTTGTTGTTGTAACATCCCCGGATCTGTAACCTTGTATGTTCGGTTTGTCGTGGTTGCTGTTATCGTCTCTCGTAGCTTAATGGTTAGAGCATTAGTGCGTAAAGCTAAAGGTCTCAGGTTCCATTCGCGGCGGGGATTATAACAGAAACAAAAATTTTCCCTCATTAACATGGGGTAGTTTGTAGGGGATGGAAAACTGAAAATGAAATTTCACATTAATATTTTCTATTTATGTAATTTCCACTAGTGTGATATATTAATTCATATACAATTTTTGGTAAAACTTAACGATTGCTTATTACATTCTAACATTATTGGCCTACCTTGAACAAAAAAGCCGAGTGCCGTAGGATGAAGATCTTTCAAGAGTCCAACTGGGTTCCAAGGATCAACGCTACCTTGAACTGAAATGAGTCGGGTTATTTCTGGAGTAGCAGCTCCATTGAAAAAATTTGTTCTTTCCACACCATTACTCGTCACTTTTTCATTGTATCTAATTTAGAATATTGTACAAGTTTAATTGAATGTGTATCAGTAGCTACATTGATTGAAAAGAAATTTTTAGACTGTTTAATGTCGTCTATGGTGAAGAATAGTAATAAACGAAAGTGTAGTAAATAGGTAAATACATTAGACTCACCCCTAATTAATGTAGATACTCACCTTCTTCCTGCAAGCCTTTAGCATATTAATACAACAAAAATAACAAAAAACAAATCTCCTTAATCTACAAAAACAGCCACTGAGCTATAATACAGAAAAATAAATCCTATTTATTATCTCATTTATGTCTTTTTTATTAAGCACTCTCACTTTAATCTCATCACGACCTCCACCTATTATTTCTTTATTTTTTTACAGTCTTGGTAAAATTTACAGCCTCTCCTTTTTTTTCTACTCTAAGCCTTGCTATTACCTCAATATTTCATTCATATCTTTCACATATTTTGACGTCCAATGCTCCCATAGTAAGGCCGTCATACAATCCAATATTTCAACTTCTTAATTTTTTTCATCTTACTCTCATTCTATCCTGTTTATTTTATTTGTCCTTTCTTTATCACACCTATTTCCTGTTCCAATTCTAAATTCTCTATAGTTCTCTATACTTGCCTTCTTATATCCCGTTCCCCTAAACTTTTCTATCTTCTCATAATTTGGGATCCTTAGTCTTACTTATATTCAACTCTAGACTTTGCCTTCTTAAATCTTTTTCTAGAACCTCATTATACTTTCTAACCGTAAAACTTTTTTATCTTAGTCTATTTTTATTTAATTATTTTATTATATAAGGGCTTACTTCACTCCGAATAAATCTTCACAACGGCGATGAAAAAATTCCAAAGGAAACGTGTTACCAAAAGGTTGTTTACTGGATGTCGAAGTGTGAAACCAACCAAGTTCTGTGCAAGCTTGATAGTTCCACGGGCGATCTGTAAGAAGTTACTACCTTGTACAAGTAAATATAATGTAGGTTTGCATATGTAACTAAAATTGAAGCGTCTCTCTCTAACCCATCGGCATGACCTAGAGGTTTAGACCATTTCTTGGCATTCGGGAGGACGCCGTCTGGTAGAACTGTTTTTGTGTTAAAATCTATCTAAAAGGATTTGTATAAGTAATCTTTAGTTAAATGGTCCCAGTGTTGTGCTTGTTATGGCCGATATCGTGCATTTACGTACAAGAAAATACTACAAACCAAGATGAACACCATTGTATTAAACAAATAAAATAAAGAACCGTCACTGAACACACACACGATGATTGGACAATCCAGGTTTCAATTAAATTATCCAAATGGGTAGCGGATTTTACTTTGTCAATCCGAAAGCATTTCCTTGCAAGGAAAAGGTACGGATTATGAATGCGAATTGTAGCAAAAGCTCTTATTTCTACCTTTTACTTGAAAGAAGATGCTTAATTTAGTAATTTAAGTATGATCTATTGTTTTGACAATAAATATAAAGGGGCTGTTATAATATAAAGGGACTACAGCGTATTGGTGTTGAGGCATTTTCTTTATGCAATGTAATAAAGAATAAGACTTGAGATAAGACTAATAACTTAAATATTTGCAATACTTACTGACACGTAATGTTATATTAGGAGATGTGTACAGATCTAAAAAATTATTGTATAATAACATGCAGGAGTCTTGCTGTGCTCTGACATAGGAAGCCAACTTTTCTGCATTAGAACCTGTCGCATTTTCGATTTGGGAACAAGCGCTTTCAATATCACCCGGTATCGCATACTGTACTAATGTTGCAAAAACGCCTCCTACTCTATTGAAGAAGAAAGAACGAGCGGGCTCCGTTACGTTCATTGTTTGGCAAGTGCTGAAGTAAGTTT